AGGAATAGTTGTATTTGTTATATTTTCAAAAATATATATGGTTTTGGGAGGAGATTTCCACTGCTCTACTCACGCTGCCATCTTGGTTCTCCCCCAAAACTACTATTTTTTAGTGGAATTGTATTAAATTTGTAATGAACATAGGGAGAATTGTTATCTTTATTATATTGTGTCATTCTATCTAAGAACATGGTGTATCTTTCTAATTCCTCAGTCTTATGTCTTTTGGTCTTGTTCTGGAGATTTTCTTGTACCATATAGATTTTGCACATTTCTTGTTAAGTTGATTTCTAAGTGTTTTATCTTTTGTATTGCTATTATAAAGGGATCTTTTCTTTCATTATATCTTTTAACATGTTTTTATATATGAAAACTATTTAAAACTGTATATTAATATTTTGCTTGGTTAATTTATTAACTTCTCTCATTGCTTATAATATTCCAGTTTTTAGATTTAATTTAGTGTTTAGATTTTAATTTAGATTTAATTTTAGATTTAATATTAACAGTTTAACACTTATGTTTATAAGTTTCTAATTTATTTTATTTTATTGTTCTTTAACATTTTAGATTAAATGATTGATTCTCTTATTTATTTTTTATTGATATAATAATTTAGGCCTATGACTTCCTCTGCCCTTTGCTTTATCTTTATTATATAAGATCTAATATGTAGCACTTTCACTGTAAATGTTTCTAGAAATTCTGCAACATTGTTTTGTGTTTTCTTCTGACCCATAGATTGTTTAAAGTAGGATTTAAAAATTCCTGGGGAAAGGTCTTTTAATTTTGTGAAAAATTTAGCTTTAGTGGCTTGTAAAAAAAGAAAATATCTATAGTTTATTGGTCTATTTTTGGTATTAATTAAAATATTACTTTTATTTTAAAAAATTTTTTTGGTACCATTAATATACACTTAATGAACAACATTGTGGTTACTAGATTCCCCCATTATCTAGTCCCCACCACATTCCTCATTACAGTCACTGTCCATCAGCCTAGTAAGATGTTATAGAATCACTGCTTGTTTTCTCTGTTATACTGCCTTCCCTGTGCCCCACTTACATTATGTGTGCTAATCATAATGCCCCTTTTTCCCCTTATCCTTTCCTTCCCACCCATCCTCCCCAGTCCCTTTCCCTTTGGTAACTGTTAGTCCATTCTTGGGTTCTGTGATTCTGCTGCTGTTTTTTTCCTTCAGTTTTTTTGTTCTTATACTCCACAGATGAGTGAAATCATTTGGTACTTGTCATTCTCTGCCTGGCTTATTTCACTGAGCATAAGACCCTCTAGCTCCATCCATGTGGTCGCGAATGGTAGGATTTGTTTTCTTCTTATGGCTGAATAATATTCCATTGTGTATATATACCACATCTTCTTTATACATTCATCTACTGATGGACACTTAGGTCGCTTCCATTTCTTGGCTATTTTAAATAGTGCTGTGATAAATGTAGGGGTACATATGTCTTTTTCAAACTGGGCTCCTGCATTCTTAGGGTAAATTCCTAGGAGGGGAATTCCTGGGTCAAATGGTATTTCTATTTTGAGTTTTTTGAGGAACCTCCATTCTGCTTTCCACAAAGGTTAAACTAATTTACATTCCCACCAGCAGTATAGGAGGGTTCCCCTTTCTCCACAACCTCGCCAACATTTGTTGTTGTTTGTCTTTTGGATGTTGGCCATCCTAATGGTGTGAGGTGATATCTCATTGTGGTTTTAATTTGCATTTCTCTGATGATTAGTAATGTGGAGCATCTTTTCATGTCTGTTGGCCATTCTGAATTTCTTCTTTGGAGAAGTGTCTGTTCAGCTCCTCTGCCCATTTTTTAATTGGGTTATTTGCTTTTTGTTTGTTGAGGTGCATGAGCTCATTGTATATTTTGGATGTCAACCCCTTATCGGATATGTCATTTATGAATATATTCTCCCATACTGTAGGATGCCTTTTTGTTCTACTGATGGTTAAAATATTCTTTATAACCAAAATGATACCATTAAAAAAATATTCCTTTGGTGCATGAAAGGAAAATATATGATTTATTTTCAGAATGATTTATTGTAATCAGGTACATAGCATTAAATATGTTATTTATATTTTCTATATCTTTAATCTGTCATGGATTGAGAAAAGTAAATTACATTCAGCAAATATGATGTTTTTCTTTTTCTATCTCCTGTAATTTCTATCTTCCTGTAATTCTGTGTGAATTATTTCTTTTGTTAACTTACATATTATTACTTACATGTTTTCATTTGAATTATCCTTTTGCATTGTAATGTGCAACTCTGTCTTATTTAATGCTGAATTTCTCCTTGTTTGACAATAATAACATCATTTTTCTTGTCATCTTCCTGCTACATATTTGCCCATCTTTTATTTTCAGCATTTCCTAACAGCTTCATTGTAGGTGTGTCTTCATATAAAATACAGAATCAGATTTTGCTTTGGGAGCCAATTAAAAAATATAATTCTTTTAAATAAGTAACAGGATAATTTATATTTGTTTTTAGGATAAATATATATGATCTGAACTGTCATTATTTTCTGTTCCATTATTTTAATGTTTTTAATTTATTTTTTACATTTTCTTTCTTTTTTGTGTATGATTCTGATACTTAGAACAAATTGTAGTTACTTTAATAATTATAACTTTAGTACTCTTATTTCTCTGCTTCTTTATAGGGTATCTATCTATTGATACTCTAATAAAAGAAATGATAAAATATTTCCTGTTTCTTCCGATTCCATTTTTTTGTCTCCTACCTGGTATTTGCCAATAAAAGCGATTTTTGTAGTATGTTTACCTTATAATTTTAAATATTCTTATACATCTATTATTTGATTGGTCAGCTTTCAGTAATATCTGTTTATTCCAGTCATTAATATTAGGCAGTCAGGGTACTTGCTCATCTAGGCTCTTCCCATTCTAATTTTCTTTGTTGCACCAATTCTACAAAATCAAATCAAAAGCATTTACATTTTGTTTGTCACCCCAATCCTCATTTATTAAGTCTCAGTTTTATAATTAAGTATATTCAAAACTTTCCAGTTGTCCTTTTGCCAGTGTCTTCAGATATATTTTGATTCATTCAAGTTAATCTTTTATCAAGTTTCTCAGGAAAAATTTTTGGGCAATATTCCCTGAGTTGTTAAAATTTCAGATTGTTTTCAGCCTTTAATCTTAGAGGATGATTTGACAAGATACAAAATCTTGACTCCCCTTCATCAACCTCCTATAGGCATTACTGTGCTGTTTTCTGGAGTTGAGGGTAAAAATCTGAATTTTTGCCTAGTTGCTCATAGGATTCTTTTTTTAAGCTTCAAAACCCAGCAGTTCTACTGAAATGTGTCTCAGTATTGACCATTTTAGGTCAATTGTATAGATTCAAGTTTTTTTTTTCTATTCTTGTGACTTTAAGTTCTTATTTTTAAAAATTTTGGTCTAATGTTGAACTTCTCCCTAAGAACATTTTTTTCTGTTGAGTTTATTGGTATGTTGGTAAATTTATTTTTTAATTGGGTTTTGTTCTTTTCTTGGGTTGGCACTTTTAAAATATGTCCTTTTATTTAAAAAATTTGCATATAGTAAAATTCACTTTTTATTGTACAGTTTCATGAATTTAGACAAATGCATGTAGCCATATATCTACCATTAGAATCAGAACAGTTCTATCACTGCCCCAGATGCCCCTGGCTGATCCTTATATAGTGTCTTTTTATTAATGCTGTGTCAAATCCTTTCTTTATTACTTATCAGTAATTGAGTTGGATTTCTTGAATCTGCTATTTGCAGGATACTTCTGCAAGGGTTGAGGAGAAAGCACTGGACAGCCTTCAGAATCCTCCTTTACCACTGTCACAGAATCAGATTGCTCCTGTTGAAGTGGTTCCTCTGTGTGACTCTCTGTCTTACACTGGATCCAAGAGGGCTTCTCCTGCCTTTATGCATATTTTCTGTGCTACAAATAGAGCAATATATTTTGCATTTTGATGTGAACACTTCACCTCAGAAAGTACATTTCTATAGTCATTTTGAGAGATTTGTTACTCCTGGCCATCTTGTCTGCTTTTCTTTGCTGCCTTTTCCCTGTGTGGTATCTACTAACTCTGCTGCTCCTGGGTGACTCTTACATATTTTGGGGGGTCTGTAGAAAATATGTCTTCTAGTTTTGCTAAGAATGGAGATTGTTTAGGTTAACTGTGGCATTAGTATGTGATCCAGAAGGAGAAGAGAACAGACCTGTCTCACACAGCCACGTTCATATTCTAAGTGCTTCCTCTGACTGCGCTCATAACTGCCTTTGTCTGACTCCTCTTTCTTGGCTCACACATTAAACACCGAAATCCCGCAGGCTGCTAACCTCCTATTCATATGTCACTCGTTCAAGCATGTGTGATACTTCCTGTGATATTCCAGATCTCTTCATTATTTCCTAAACACATCATTTCAGAGTTGGTCCATCTTTCCCTGCTATCCTTACCTTGGAAGGTCCTTTTCTTCCTTCTCTGATTACTATACTCCTGTTTATTCTTTAAGATCTAAGAAAGTACACTGTCTCCTTCAGGAACTCTTCCTTGACACCTAAAGATGAGGCACTTCTACAGATAAGGCAGAATTAATCTCTTATTTGTGTTTCCACAATATATTGCCCCATTTCGGGTGTACTTATCTGGCTGTTTTCAGTATTTATATACGTTATTACCAAGCCATATGTCAATACAGAACTTTCAGATGCTGGGTTGCTAGGACCCTATTTATAGCTCTTCTGTGGTAGTCAGCACATACTTTCATTTGCCTCATTTGATTTTCAATGGTCAGTTGAAGGGTACAATATTTGGGGTCATCTAGATTTTCTTATTTTTATTTTCAAAGTGAATTAATCATTTCAAAGCAATTTTTCTGCTTACAATGTAACTGAAATTCCTGTGTAATTGGAACATTTATAAATTTTGAAAAAGATCAGTGATCGTTAATAGGAGCTCTTCTGCATTCCAGGTGATGCAACTGTGACAATAGCTCACAGGTATACTCCCAGAGAACAACTAAAGATCCATACTCAGCTGGCTGATATTATCGTAGCAGCTGCAGGTAAGTCTCTACCGGCTGTTATTTGGTGGCCATCATTGGCAGAGTAAGCCCTGCCCTAATTGCTCACATGCCTGTAAGAACAGCTTCTTGGGAGAGTTGGGTGTGTGTATGAATAACTTTCATCAACCAGATTCTGTCTCTTGGCTGTCTTCATATTGATCTATTGTGCCTATGTTTTAGCATTTTTCATCTCATTATGGACAACCCAAACAGCCTTTGGAATGACAGATTAAATGTAAAAACAAATGTGTGCTTTGCCAAATCTTTTGACGCAATGTGATTGATTCTAAAAGTGAGTGAGTGATAGGGTGACTGGTAGCAAATGCTGTTGAAAAGAGAGCCGGGACTGGCTCATATAGGACCTTATAGGTAAAGACTTTGATGTAAGCCAAAGATGGCTGAGAGCAGGAGATGGACATGACCTGGCTTATGTTTTTAGAAGATTGCTCACACTGTGTCAAGGAAAATTAACTCTAAAGGAGCAAGAGTAGAAACATAGAGAACAGTTACTGCATTTTAATTTAATGGCTCTAGGTTTTTCCTAATTTGTTTTATATTCAAACATACCAAATTATTCTACTCTTTATTTCTACCTTTGTTCTTGCCATGTAGTATTTCTACATTGCAGACATTGTGACTCTAATTGCTTTACCCAAGACGTGCCGAGGGCCTTTTTCATTTTTTTTACCAATTAGATATTATTGGTAATTTCTAGACTTTACATTTGAATTGCTGAGTATCTACAAACTATGAATGGAGAGTAAAAGTTCCAAAAGAAATGGACTTCAAAGAAGAAAATAATGATGTTTGCTTTTAACCAAATTTAATTCCCTTTCTTATTGTAAAATAGGCCTTTCTCTGGAACCTAGAATATATATATGGGATAACTCCAGGTGATATAATTTGCCTCCTTTGGATAAAAAATAGAAATATTCTCTTTCCAGAGGCCACCAGTAAGCTGGTATAGCTAACCACACTTCCTGTTTTTCTGAGAAATTATATTCAGGTGATACCTAATGAAAATTTTTGAACTAGATTGACAGAAGTAAGACAAATGTTTAGAGAGGGAGACTACAGATCAACATTAAGTGAAATACTGCTATAGCACTGATGTATTCATGGAAGACAAATATTGCATGGACTTCTTTTTAGAAACACTTGGATTCACACACAAGACTCAAAATTTGGTGAGTAGAGAGGAATTTGAATGGCCATCTTTGTCCATCTCTAATTTTAGAATGAAATTTACCTTATCTTTAAAAGGTGCTACTTAACTCTAATGATAACAACTTGTAAAGAATATTTCATAATGGATATTAGTTCCCATTTATCCATTACAATATTGAATGATTTATTTTTTTTCATCTAGTGGGGCAAAATCCCTCAGTGTGCATTCATGCTCTTTATTTTGTCATGAGAAATGATGAATGGGTGATTACAAGCCTCTTTCAAGAACCACTGACATTCTTTCTTGAATAAATCAAACTTTATGTCACAAGTCATTGTGCCAACACTGTTGTCATCTTTGAATTTCTCCTATGGACTCACTGTATACTCCTTGGTAAAGGCCTAAATCTACACTCAGTACAAGGTGTTTAAAAATTAGGGGAAAAAAAGGAAAATAAAGAAAAGGAAGGGGAAGGAAGGACTAAGCCTGTATGCAATTCACAGCATGGAACTAGCAGGTACTCAGGCACCTAGGTTTGGAGCCAGGGCTGAGGCCCTGGACAGCAGCCCCGTTCTACTCAGGGTGCCCTCACCACCAGAGGGCAACCAACAGTCAGATGCACTGCCAGTGTAGCCAGTTTACTGCAAGCCGGTGCATCCGGCTGCAAGACATTCTGAGTGAAGGGAGCGGGAGTGGGTTTTGTTCCCTGCCTTGTATTCTAGCTCTCATGCCTCGAGCTAGATACCAAGGTACCCTACAGTCAGTCTGCAGAAATAAATATTTGGATAATGGGAATTCACGGGAAACAATTGAGAATTTGTAAGAAATTACTAAACTTTCACTTCCTTAATAATCACCCAAAGAATTTAAGGATAAAATATGTAGATATTGGTAAATTCAGTGAAATTGTACAGAAAGCACAAATTAATGTAAAAAAGAAATTCCATGTAACCACTTAATAGGAGTGAAATATTATTAAAATGACCACATCATACATTGTGTGTAGGAAATAAACAATACAAATAGCAGTGAGTTTTAAAGAAGGAGATAGTGATCTAATGGCAGAGGTAGTGGAACAGGGAGGGCTGGATCGTCGTCATAACTGGAATGTCAGCCTGCGTGGCAGCAGTCCCATCTGGAAGCCAGGAAGCGGAGGAGGAGGAGTACATGATGTATCAGAAGGACTGATCCTGTCCGAGAGATGACAGTAAAGAATGTAGGGATGAAATCTCATAATGGGCTTGCAGAAGAAAAAAGTAAAAGAAGAAATCATTGTGTGAAGATCCTGAGGCATGAATAAAATTAGCTTATGTTAATATTAATCTCACCCCTCCAGTTTCTCAAACTCCCGTAGTCCTCTCCTTGTAAGTTTAATTATAAACCTACAAATCTCCTCACAAATTTGAGATTTAGACTAATATAGAACCTCAAATCTAAAAATCTAAAGAATTGTTTGACAGAACCTGTCAAACTATGCATTTAAGAACAAGATGCTACAAGTCCCTACTCAAAGTTACCTTTCTAGGTTCATAGAATTAATCTGTTTCTAGTGCACTTTACCGTGCCATGGTTATAGCATTTAACGCCTGTTTACCCTTGTCTGTCACCTTCACTAGACTATAGCAAAGACAGGATTCTCTTTATTAGCTTTGGTATCCAAGTGCTTAGAACAATATCTGACACATGGTGGGTACTAAATAAATGTGTACTATATCCATTTGAGGATTACAGCTGGAACAAGGACTTCAAATTGACATAAACTTAGCTGATAAATTTTTAGGAACATAATTTTATAAAGACAGAATCATTATTCTAGTTATTGGTTGATTTACCTATTGGTAGCATTAATTTTGTGAGTACTAAATATTCCAGATTGCCTCTGTAAAGTGAATTGATAAAGTCATAAAATGGAAAGATTTGTCATAAAAGAGTACTTCATATATTAAGTGATAAAGAGACTGATTTGATTTGAAATGTTAAGATTAAGAAATTAAGAACAGGGTGAAGAGAGTAAAACTAGTATAGACATTTAAAATATATTAACAGTATTAAACAGTTGAATGGAAAAAGGTAGTTTAGGGGAAGGCTAAACTCTTTTGTGTAAGGCTAATGATAAAAAAGGGAAAGGTAGCCAGAATAGGGCACCAATTCTAAGAGCATGTTAAAAAAAGGTCCTTTCACTTTCTTATATCTCATGCTTCCAAGAAAATGGGGGAAATAAGAAGTTTGTAAAAGTTCTAAAATCTTCATTATCCAGGCAGGATAGCAACTTTTTTCCATACATTGTCCAGAGGACCCTCCACCCATCTGAGTAAACTGTGAAACTAGCATCATTCAGAAGATGAGCTGCTGAGTCAATGCCAGTTGCTTATTAACCTCTGGATACAGAATGTCACAGTTGGTGACAGCTGGCATTTTGTCCACTAAGCCATCCCCTCCAGCATGATGGATGAACCTTCACAGTCGTAACTCTAGCGTCTCTATTGCAACACTTTTAATGATAGACACTGTAATATGAAACAGTATAAATGGGCAATTCAGTAGAGTAATTTGGAATATTCATACTTACTCCTCATAAAATATAAGGTGACCAACTTCTTTTTATTACTTCTTCCATCATATTTTCAAGTTTATACACTCCCATCAAACATCATCCTGTGTTCTCAATAGAGTTTTATCTTTGGTGGATTTCCTCCTCCTAGGAGCAAGGTTAGTAATTTTAGGATGCCAGGACACTGAGAATTTCCAAAGGGTGGGGCATGGAAATGGTCTCTTCTGCCATCTACTACTCATGCAGTTTAGGAGTAGAACTTGCTCCCTTACAGCCCTGGGTGCCTCCTGAGTGGATGCCAGCACATTTCATGGTTTAACTAATCCCACTGTTCCTATCATGTTTGTCATTCTTCACCTTGCCCTTAAGTTTCTGCTTTTCCACTTAGAATTCCTTCTCGCTTTCCTAAATTTGTCATTTGTCTCAATTTTGTCAGTTAATTTCAATAGTATAGAGTAGTGTAAGTCCTCAGGGCTTGCTAGATTAAGAATTCCAGAATTAAAATACAGACTCTGCTGCCTCCTGCTAATTGTGTACCTTGGTCAAGTCATCTCAGCTCTCTGAGCTTCAGTCTCTTCAGTGTGAAGAATAGTATGCCTCTAATAGAGTGTTGCTAAGTCTGCCAATCCATGTAAAGAACATAACATAGTGCCAAGCATATTGCAAATACCCAATAAATATTAAATGCTAATATGTTATATGGCAGTCTTTCTTAGTCTATTGCATAGGAATTTTTAAACAATGATTTAGAAATAATCAGTTAATTATTAAGCTACAACTTTGATATAACTAAATGAATACACTTTTTGTTACTTTTGATACTAACATAGTACAGGCATACCTTGTTTTTATTGTGCTTCACCTTTATCATGCTTCACAGGTATGACTTTTTTTTACAAATTCAGTGTTTGTGGCGACCCTGTGTCAAGCAAGTCTGTCGGCACAATTTTTCCAACAGCATTTATTCACTTTGTGCCTCTGTGTCACATTTTGGTAATTCTCACAATATTCGAAACTTTTTCATTATTATATTTGTTACGGTGATCTGTGATGTTACTTTTGTAATTGTTTTAGGGCTTCATGAACTGTACCTACAAAAGACTGAATTTAACTGATAAATGTTGTGTGTATTCTGACTGTTCCGCCTACTGGCTGTTTCCCTGTCTCTCTCCCTCTCTTTGGGCCTTTCTATATATCCTGAAACATAACAATATTGAAATTAGGCCAGTTAATAATGCTTCAGTGGCTTCTAAGTTTTCAAGTGAAAAGAAGAGAAACGTG